TCATTCTATGGGAAAAGTATTACCCTAATACCAAAATCAAAAACACATCAAAAAACAAAACTACAGGCTAATATCTCTGATGAATATTTATGCAAAAATCCTCAATGGAATATTTGCAAACTTAATTCAATAATACATTGGAAAGATTATCACAACCAAGTGGGATTCATCCCTGGGATGCAAGGCAAGGATGGTTCAACATATGCAAATGAATCAATGTGATATATCAACAGAATGAAGGATAAAAATCATATGATAATTTTAATTGATGCCCCAAAAAAGCATTTGATAAAATTCAACATCCCTTCATGATAAAAATCCTCAACTGGATATGGAAGGAGCATACCTCAACCATAAAAGCTATATATGGCAGACCCACAGCTAGTTATCATACTGAATGGGGAACCCAAATTTGCGTTTCCTTTAAGATGTGGGACACAACAAGGATGCCCTCTGTCACCACTGTTATTCCACATAGTACTGGAAGTTCTAGCCAGAGCAATCAGGCAAGACAAAGATATAAGGGACATCGAAATTGGAAAGGAGAAAGTCAAATTATCCTTGTTTGTAGATGATATGATCTTATATTTGACAAAACCTAAAGACTCCACAAGTCAACTATTGGAACTGATAAATTAATTCAGTAAAGTGGCAGGATACAAGGTTAACATACAAACATTGGTAGCATTTCTAGATGCCAACAGTGAACAATGTGAAAAAGAAATTTACAACAGCCACGTGTAAAGTTAAATACCTAGGAACTAACTTAACCCAAGAAGTGAAAGATCTCTACAATGAAATGTATAAAACATTGGTAAAGAAATGGAATAGAATACCAAAAAATGAAAAAATATTCTATGTTCATGAATTGGAAGAATCAATATGTTAAAAGTTTCATACTACCCCAAAGAATCTACAGATTCAATGCAATCTCATAAAAATATAAATTACATTCTTTATAGAAATAGAAAAAATTATCCAAAAATTTATATGAAAACACAAAAGACCCAGAGTAGCCAAAGCTCTCCTATAAAAATAAGAAGTCTGGAGAAATCACATTACCTGACTTTAAATTATAATACAGAGCTATAGTAACCAAAGCAGCATGTTACTGGCATAAAAGCAGATACATTGACAAATGCAACAGAATAGAAAACCCAGAAATAAAGCCACATACCTACAGTGAACATATTTTTTAAAAAGGTGCCAAGAACATACACTGGAGGAAAAGACAGTCTCTTCAATACATGATGCTGGGAAAATTGAATATCTATATACGGAAGAATGAAACTAGACTCCTATGTCTTTTTAATTTTTTTTTTTTGAAACAGAGTCTGGATCTGTCACCCACGCTGAGTGCAGTGGTGTGATATTGGCTCACTGCAACCTCTGCCTTCCAGATTCAGATGATTTTCCTACCTCAGCCTCCCAAGTAGCTGGGATTACAGGCACCTACCACTATGCCTGGCTAATTTTTGTATTTTTAGTAGAGTAGGGGTTTCGCCATGTTGGCCAGGCTGGTCTCAGACTCCTGACCTCAGATAATCCACCTGCCTCAGGCTCCCAAAGTGTTGGAATTATGGGCATGAGCCTGCCGCACCTGACCTAGATTCCTTTCACTCATCATATACCAAAGCCAAATAAAAATGGGTTAAAGACTTAAATTTAAGACCTCAAACTATGAAACTAGTACAAGAAAACATTGGGAAAATCTCTAGGACAATAGTTTAAGTAAAAATTTCTTGAACAATACCCCACAAGCACAGGCAACAAAAGCAAAAATGGACAAATGTGATCACATGAAATTAAACAACTTCTGCACAGCAAAGGATGCAGTCCAACAAAATGAAGAGACGATCCACAGGATGGGAGAAAATATTTGCAAACCACCCATCTGACAAGGGATTAATAACCAGAATACGTAAGAAGTTCAAACAACTCTATGGAAAAAAAATCTAATAATCTAATAAAAAAATGGTCAAAAGATTTGAACAGATATTTCTCAAAAGAAGATATACAAATGGAAAATAGGCATATTAAAAGGTACTCAGCATCATTGATCACAGAGAAATGCAAATCAAAACTACAATGAGATATTATCTTGCCTCAGCTCAAATGGCTTATATCCTAAAGATAGGCAACAAGAAGTGCTGGTGAGGATGTGAAGAAAAGGGAATCCTTGTACACTATGGATGGGAATGTAAATTAGTACAACCACTGTGGTTAGAACAGTTCAGACAAGCCTCAAAAAACTAAAAATTGAGCTGCAATCTGATCCAGCAATCCCACTGCTGTGTACATATCCAAAAGAAAGGGAATCAGTATATCAAAGAGATATCTGCACTTCTATATTTGTTGCAGCACCATTTATAATAGCTAAGATTTGAAGCAAACTAAGGTTCCATCAACAGATGAATGGATAAAGAAAATGTGGTACCGATAGATATACAATGGAGTACTATTTAGCCATAAAAAAGAATGAAATCTGGCCAGACGCAGTGGCTCATGCCTGTAATACCAGCACTTTGGGAGGCCCAGGTGGGAAGATCATGAGGTCAAGAGATGAAGACCAACCTGGCTAACATGGTGAAACCCTGTCTCCACTAAAAATACAAAAATTAGCCAGGAGTGTTGGTGTGCTACTTGGGAGGTTGAGGCTGGAGAATTGCTTGAACCTTGGAGGTGGAGGTTGCAGTGAGCTGAGATTGTGCCACTGCACTCCAGTCTGGCTATAGAGTGAAACTCCATCTCAAAACAGAAAAAAAAAGAGATCCAATCATTTACAAAACAAACATTGCATGTTTTCATTTATTTCTGGGTTCTAAAAGTCAAAACAATTGAACCTGTGGGCTTAGAGAGTAGAAGGATGTTTATCAGAGGCTGGGAAGGGTAATAGGGCTTGGCAGAAGTTGGGGATGGTTAATGGATACAAAAAATTGAAAGAATGAATAAGACCTACTATTGTTAGCACAATACAGTGAGTATAGTCAATAATAATTGTATATTTTTAAATAACTTAAAGAATTTAATTGGATTGCCTGCAACTCACAGAATAAATGCCTTGAAGAATGTAATTGGATTGCCTGCAACTCACAGCATAAATGCTTGAAAGGATGGTTACTCCATTCTCCATGATGTGCTTATTTCACATTGTATACCTGTATCAAAACATCTCATGTACCTTATAAATATGTACACTTACTACGCACCCACAAAAATAAATAAAAAATTAAAATAAATGAAATAAATTTGGAAATTATTTCTGGAGGTATTCTCATTTCTAATAACATCAGTACATAATAGACATACATGCATACATCAAAATGCAACCCAAATTTATGATTTTCTAAAATAAACTACCTGTTATCATAGGATTACAAGAAAGTTAAGATTTCTAAGAAAGTATCAACAATTATCTCTAGAAGATGATTTTCTAATTTTAAAAACATCTCTGGCAACAAAGACACGTTATGTTATTGTCAGGAAGCTTTATTAACTTTAATATTCATAGTTGTTAACCTTTACACATAAATTATTGCATCTCTAAAACTTAGGAATTCTGCTGACTTGATTTTTTTGTGTGGAGAATGGGGTCTTACTATATTGCCCAGGGAGATCTCAAACACCCGGTCTCAAGCTACCCTTGCACCTCTGCCTCCATAAGTGTTGGGATTACAGGAGTGAGCCATGATGCCTGGCCTGACTTGGTTTGTAGTCCTTTTTTCCTCTCCTCATGTGAATATGGGGTCCTACTGGAGCAGCATCTCGAGTTGCTGTTTTAGAATGACATCTTTTCATTCAATTTAAAATGCATATTACCATAATATTTCAGAAATCAATTGCTGTGTATATTAGTAAAAGTATATTTTATATCCTTGAAACAAATGTTGAAATCTGTAATTAAAATTTTGAATCTCAAGATTTTTTTCTCTTCTTGCTTTCATTTTAGAAATTTCAGAGAAGAGCATAGGTTTCCATTATTTAATTCTGTGAGTTTAGTATAATTTAAAAATATTCCTTCTCTTCACATTATATGCTTTTCCTGAGTAAGGTCATCCACTCTTACTTTCTGGGTGCCTCAAATTTGTTGTGTCCAACACTGAAGGCATTGTCCTTGACCCTTTCCTGACTTTTTGTAATCTACTCTATCATCTGGTTTCACCTTCCTAGGAAATAACACCTAATAAGTAGCACTGAAACATTGAAGCAGGAAAAATTCTACATTTCAGGTCTTTCTCAAATCATCAATTCAGTCACTTGCAAATTCTTTATTTTCTACCTGCATAGCATTTTTTATATCTCATTACTGTAATTCACTCTCTGACTCATAATTTTGAAATGCTCTTGTCTAATGTCCTCCCATGCCATGTTCATCTTTATTTTTTTGTTGCTGCCAAGGTGACTTTTATAAAACGTATTTATAATGATATATAACTCATCTGCTTTTGAATGGTTCCCCATTACATGATGGGAAAAGGTCACACTCTAGTGTGGGCCATATCTTTTTGTGGTTTGGCCTGATTCTCCCATTTTATCTCTCCATTCCTTTCCTTCCGTGTTCCACTTTTACCACATTATTTTGGTATCCCTCATTACCCTGTCATTTCATGCGTCATGTTTTTGTGCATGCTTCTCTGTCTAGAAATCTTTCCTACTCTCACTGTGTACTTGGTCTATGTTTCAAAATATGGGTCTATCTTTGCAGTATTTCCTGAGCTTCCCATGTAGAACTGACTGTTCTGTTCCTTGTGCCTGTACTGTACTTTATTCCTTTAGTTGTAGAACTCGTGGATTATAGTTTTCTGTTTTTATTACCTTTCATATATCTCTACCTCACTGAAATATAAGGTAGGATCTGACTTTGATTTATATTTTTAGCTTATCCCCAAATATTGATAATAATTTGATAGACACAGTAAATTTTTGTTGTCTGACTGACAGAGTGGGTGAGTGAGTAAATGCAATGTTTTCTGAAGTTGCTGTTTTTTTATTTTTAATAGGAGAACGCAACAAAGCCAGCAAATGGAAAAAGACAAAATGGTATGGGTATTATTGAGGGTGCCCCACAAAAGCACACAAATAATGAAAATTTAATTTCGATTAAAAAAATTAGAGGTGGTAAGTTAGTGAATATCTCTGAAAAGAGTGTATATTAAATACTTTGAATAGAAAACCACCAAACTGTAGATCCAAACATAATATTCACTTCTTTTCAATCATTTCTTCTGTCTTTATACTACCAACTTTTTCTTAAAGCTACTTCAATTCTTCAATTCCCTGAAATTCTTTTTTCTTTCTTTCTTTTTTTTTTTTTTTTTTTTTTTTTGTTACTTTTGTTTCACTGAAATATTTATGGGTGAAGACAAACTTGTATATGTATATAAAATTCATATACAATTTAGTGATAAATTTTCTCATGTATGTATCTGTGTATAACATTTTATAGATATGCCATCCATAGTAAAATCAGGACAAAAGGAAGAGATACAATCACATTTGGACACCAAGGTATTATCTATGGCTATTGCTGTAGTTACTATTTTAGAAAATAAGTTTTCAGTGATGTTACAACATAAAAGAGAATGCTTTTACTTCACTTTTGCACCTCTGCAATATACTCATAAAGAATTATTTTTTGGACAGGCATGGTGGCTCATGCCTGTAATCCCAGCACTTTGGGAGGCTGAGGCAGGCAGATCACCTGAGGTCAGGTGTTCGAGACCAGCCTGGTCAACATGGCAAAACCCAGTCTCTAATGAAAAAAATACAAAAATTAGCTGGGTGTGGTGGTGGTCACCTGTAATCCCAGCTACTCAGGAGGCTGAGGCAGGAGAATCACTTGAACCCAGGAGATGGAGGTTTCAGTGAGCTGAGATGGCACCACTGCACTGCAACCTGGGTGACAAAGCAAGACTCTGTCTCAAAAAAAATTATTTTCTTACACATACATAATCAGCCCATTATTAGTACAGTAATTATGTACAAAGTATATCACTGCTGCATAGTACAATTCTGTTAATTTGGAGAATTTGTCTAAAAAGTTGGTATCATATAGCACAAAAAATATAAGGCTTAGAAGTCGTAAGGAATCAGTTTGAACTCTAAAGTTAAGTTTATCTAGAAACTAAAAAAACTGTTCCATGTCAATATATGGCTAAATGCATGATTCTGTGGTCTACCTGGATGTGTAAAAGTGCTAATGAGATTCAGAGAGAAAGAGTTTGGACTGTAGTTTTGTACAATTTGAAACCTGAAAAGATAATGCCTGGGACTTGAAAGTACTACCATATTTGGATTGTCTAGTATAGATCTGCAAAAAATTTCAAAAGAAGCAAAAGCATGGGGAGTTGTAAATAAGTGAAGCTATAAACACAATAGTTTGGGTTAGTGGTGTTTTATTAAGTAGAAATCATATTCAAAAAAAGAAAAAATTGAGTAACTTTATGATAAATGAAGACTATTCTAAGGTGACACTAGAAAGAGATGAAAGGGCCTGGCTTGCTAGAAGCAGTTGCTGTATCATGATACCAGTACCAAGTTGGTCAAAAGACATGTTGTTATCCTGGTGCTTTTACTTACTAGCTATGAATTTCTGGTAAAAATTATTTAACCTATTTGAAGGTCAAGTGATGACCTTCATAAAAAGGATATTAGTACGTGCCTCTTAGGCATGTGTAATGAACAAATGCACTAAAAATTTGGAAAGCATTTTGTAAACTTGAAAGTGGGTACACTAATGCATAATAAAGTGGTCACAGGGAAATTGGTGGCTTAATAAGTATTGAGGATGCTTCATGTAAACCTGGAGGACAATAAAATGGCAGTAGCATCAAGAAAAGATTGGGAAAGTCAGAATGGACATGCGAATTTCTAGTTTGGGGAACATGTAGTTTCAGCAGACTATTATTAGAGAAATCTTCTAGGAATCTAGTTGTTTGACACTTGAGACATTCCCATGGTATTTTAAGTGTTTTGACCTTGAGTGAATTTCTGCTGTTGAACACTAATTCTGCTAGGCAGTTAGAGACTGAATTTAGATGATGGAGGCTTAGGTTATAGCAGCAAGAAGAGAAAAACAAGTAAATAACCTAGTCTTCTAAGTTGAATGTCCTTCCTATTAAGAAAACAGAGAAGGTAGTTTAGTGATTATTGAAGAGGCTTGTAGTTAGCATGGGGATGGGAGTGGCAGTAGAGTTCTGTAGTCAGAGATGTTTCTGTTTGTGACATTGAAACTGTCAACTAAAGGATGAAAGGAGCCAGCCATGGGACAGTCTAGGAGGAGGACATTCTGGGCAGAGAGGAAACAATGGATCTCATCTGTTCATTTTCTTGTTAACATCCTGGAATGACAAGAAAGTGGGGTGACCATCATCATCATCATCATCATTATTTTTATTAGTATAATATATAGAAGAGAAAATGTGAAATGAAGTTGGCTGGTACATTTTAGATGCTTCACAAGTGAATGTTCTTTTTCTGTTTTATATACTGAGGCTCAGTATACTTGAAGTTATTTCATTATTGGGAGAGAGTTGCTTATTATAGCTAATATTTGCTTGCTTATATGCAGACATAATCTAAAAGTTTTCTCATTGCTTTGTAATTTTTTTCAACCATTTTTCTATCAGTAAAAATGGTATCAAAAATTGTGTTTATTTCTCCAAGCTCTTGTTTACCTAAATGAAGCAGCTTCTGTCATGTTCTGTTTAAATGCAACATCCCACACTCCACAGTTTCTTATTGTGATGTTTTAACATTTACATATTCTATAACCAGAAATCTTTAAAATATGTAATGCTTTAAGTGTAATAGCAAGTGTGTTATGTAGTATTTTAAGTGGTCTCTTACATTTTGTTGGGAATGTAGGGTAGAGTTAGTTATTTTGAAGTTAGTCTCTTGCTGCACTACGCACATAAGCTATTGTTTGGTCTGTGAATCTATTTCTTGTAGCCTTTTAGTCTGGGTGTGTAGAGGCAATAGCTGTGTGAAGATAAGAGATAAGTTTGATTTAGAGAGCCTATGTAAGTTTATCTTTTAAATAATTTAGGTTCCCAACACACGCTTTTCTTATTTTGAAGTTATCTTAATGATAGTTTCTCTAAAAGAAGGTGTTTGGGAAATCTTTATGTAACCACTACTTCTTTTTCATCTTCTTGAAACTCATCGTTGTTATTAATTTTTACAGACGATCTCCAAGAATCACACAGCTAATGGTGGCAGTCATGTATCTGGGGCTACAGACTGTAAGACAAAATATAATATAGTAAATGGGCAAGAAAAAGGTAAAAACTGTATATCACAGAATAAGTCAATTGACGGAATGTCTCTTTGAAAACACGAGCACTAGTATAGTCTAATAACCAGAGAAAACTTCTTAAAATGACTTTTTTTTTGAGATGGAGTTTCACTCTTGTTGCCCAGGCTGGAGTGCAATGGTGTGATCTCAGCTCACCACAACCTCTGCCTCCCAGGTGCAAGCTATCCTCCTTCCCCAGCCTCTCAAGTTGCTGAGATTACAGGGGTGCACCACCATGCCCAGCTAATTTTTTTGTATGTTTAGTATAGATCGGGTTTCACCATGTTGGCAGGCTGGTTTTGAACTGCTGACTTCATGTGATCCACCTGCCTTGGTCTCCCAAAGGCGTGAACCACTGTGTTCAGCCCTTTAAAATGACTTCTGAGGTCAGGCCTCAGATTATGCCTATAATTCCAGCACTTTGGGAGCATGAGGCGGGTGGATCACCTGAGGTCGGGAGTTCAAGACCAGCCTGATCAACATGGAGAAATTTCATCTCTACTAAAAATATAAAATTAGCCAGGCATGGTGGCACCTGTCTGTAATCCCACTTACTCGGGAGGCTGAGGCAGGAAAATTGCATGAACCTGGGAGGCAGAGGTTGCAGTGAGCCACGATTGCGCCATTGCACTCCAGCCTGGGCAACAAGAGTGAGACTCCCTCTCAAAATAAAATAAAATAAAATAAAAATACACAGTGATAAATGTTCTCATGAATGTGCCTGTGAATATCATTTTTTAGGTAAAACATCTGTATTAGGAGCTGGAGAAGAGGAAGGTACAGAATCATGTCTGAATTCTGAGGTATTATCTATTGTCATTGTTGTGGTTGTTTTTAGAATATAAGCATTCAGTGATACTAAAAGAGGATGCTTTATATTACCTTCTCATTTCAGCGTGTGCTCATAAGGAATTACTTTTTTTTTCATGCCATAAAGTACAGTAATTATGTGCAGTTTCCCCTCCATAGTACTAATCGGCTTAGCATCACAAGGCATCAGTTTGGGTTCTGTAGTTAAGTTCATCTACAAACTAAAGAATTCTTCCATATCAACTTATAGCCAAATGTATGATTCTGTATTTGACCTGGATGTGTAAAAGTCCTAGTAAGATTCAGAAAGAAAGTGTTTGGACTGTAGTTATATACAACTTGAAACTTGAAAAGATAATGTCTGGAACTTGAATGTACTACTGCATTTGGATTGTCCAGTATAGATCTGCAAGGAGCACTGTAGGAGAAAGACAGTCCTGGGGAGTAGGGGGTATGTGGGAATATAAGTATGGTGGTGTTTTCATAAATAGAAATCATGTTTGAAAATTGAACACATTTGAGTACCTTTATGGCAAATGATGACATATTCCAAGGGGGCAACTATGGAAACAGATGACAGTGCCTGGCCTCTTAGAAGCAGTTGCTTTACAGTGATATAATGTGTAGAAAAGAAAATGTGACATTAAGTACCTGGCACATTTTAGATGCATCATATATAATGTTCTTATTCTTTTGTTAAGGCTTGTTTTGCTTTGCTGAAGTTATTTTTTAATAGGGAGAGAGTTGCTTACTATATCTGGTATTTGCTTGCTTTTATTTAAAGATAACCTAAAGACAAGTTTTTAAATGATTTTATTATTTTATTCAACCATTCTTTGTATCAGTAAGAATTTTTGAAAAATGATGTAGATTTTTTGAAGCTCTTGTTTACCTAAATAAAGCAGCTTCTACCATGTCCTGTTTATATTCAACATGACATACTCCACAGTTTATTATGCTAAGCTTTTTAACACTAAAAGATTATATAACTAGAAATGTTTAAAATATTTAATGATATAATAATATAGCAAGTATAGTACATAATTATTTAAATGCCCTTTCATTTTCCATGTGGAATCTAAAATTGAGTTGGATATTTTTAAGTTAGCTTCTTTCTGTGATATGCACATAAAGGTACTGTATAGTCTGTGAATATATTTCTGTGGCCTTCCAATCTCAGTGTACAGAGGCCATAGCCATATGAAGATGAAACATAAGCTTGGTCTAGAGAGCCTAAGTAAAGTTCTCTGTAGAAATGTTTTCCTTGTCAGTACATAATTTTTTAATTTTTAAGTCATTTGAAGGAAGAAATTCAGATTTTTAAAAGAAAGTGATTGGGACATTTTTGCATAACTCATTATCATTTCATTTTTAATTTAAATACATTGCTATGATTTATTTTAACAGAGCATCTCTAAGTGTCTTTCACTGATGTCTTTTGCTCATTTATCTGAGTCCGAAGATTCTGAGTCAAAATATTTATTATATGACCAAGTGGCAGGTAAAAACTATATTTCATAAAAAATGTCATTTGTTAGAATGTTATTTGGAGTCATAAGTAGTAATTTATTCTTATCACCAAATAAATCTCTTATTAATTGCAGAATAAAGAAAAAGTGACATGGAATGATAATAAGTCTTATCATGTGTCAGGAACAGATTAAATTGAGAATGTCAATAAAGGGGCTGAATTATTGGTTGCAATTCAAGAAATTCTGAAATCTGAGAAATGTCAGGAAAGAAGTAAGAGCAAATGAGTAAAAGAAGGAATGATGGCTTGGCATTGTGGCTCACAATTTCAATCTCATCACTTTTAGAGACTGAATTGGGAGTATCAGTGAGTCCTGGAGTTTCAGACCAGTGTGGACAACACAGTGAAACCCCATATGAACAAATAATGCAAAAATTAGCCAGATACAGTTGTGTGTGTACCTGTATTTAGCTATTCAGGTGGCTAAGGTGGGAGAATTGGCTGAGTCTGGGAGCTGGCAGCTTCAGTGAGCTGTGATCATGCCACTGCATGCCAGCCTGAGCCACAGTAAGACCTTGTCTTGAATAAAAGTCTAATAGAACAAAGTGGGAATGAAGAATAAGGAAAGCAGTGTGTACAGGTAGTAAATGAAGGGAAACAAAACAAGCATATATAATAGAGAGTAGTAAAATAAAATCATTGTAGAGGAAAAGGAAGAGTGAGGTATTTTAAAAATAGGCAGAATGTAAAATCAACTTCCAATACCAAAACTTGTCAGAGAAGTGGAGCAAAGACTTCTCACTCTTCCTGTCTTCTTCAGTGCTTGGAAGGAATTAAAAATGAAGGAGGCACTTGACAATGTCAAGGCATGCTTCATGTACATAGATGAATACATGTATTTGGTGAGCCATACACATCTATAATTTAGGAGAAATACCTAATGTAAATGATGGGGTGAAGGATGCAGCCAACCACCATGACACACGTATACCTATGTAACAAACCTGCATGTTCTGCACATGTACCCCAGAACTTAAAGTATAATAAATAAAAGGATTTTTATAATGTAAGCTTTAACTCAGATATTTTCACTTTCATGTTTTGATATCCTAAAGTTCCCAGTTTGGAATCCCTATATTAGAGATTCACAGGGAGAAATTGTGAGACTCTAAGATTTTTTCTGTGTTTAAAATGCTTATGGGAATTCTGTTTTACCTAGAGAAAAGCTAACATGTCACTTTTAAGTTTAATTATTAGATCATAGTGTGGTTACACTGATCTTAAGCCAATCAAATGTTCTAATTAGCAAACTGTGTGTTTGTGTGTGTGTGTGTGGGTGTGTGCGTTATCTTTGATTATTAAAAATGAAGAAAGTAATTAATCATTTCTTAATGCGCATTTGGTAGACAGTCTTTAAATACACCAGTTCTGAAACTTGTTGGCCTTTGGGTCCTTTTATACAATTAAAAATTATTTCACAGATGTAACCAACATGATATATGGGGTGTTTATTATTTATATTTACTGTTAAAACATTTTACCACATACAGGTATAGTCATAAATAATATTTAGAATTTGTTTCATGTCCTGAACTTGGATATAAATGGTTATATATTAGACATGCCATTCTGCAAATTTCTTTCATTTGGTCAGCATTATATTTCTGAGATCAATCCATATTGACATAAATAGCTCTGGTTTAATTTATTTTAAGTTATCCATAATATGACTGGACCTGATTTAATTAAACCCTGTTTATGCTGAAAAAAAAGATTGCAGATTCCATAGAGCTTTTGTTTAAGTGGGTTATATCTATTGATACTATTTTAGAAATTAAAACTAAAAATTTAAAAATACAAGCATGCATAGTCATACATTTTAAAAGCCATTAGAACTATAACCCATTGACCATTAGAACTATGAGGTTATGTCTTATGACATCTCTGAAAAACTTCACTTTACATTTCTAAGAGAATGAGAATGATAATGGAAAATAACATTTTGTGTTATTTGACCTTTTGGGTCTTCTGACTGGATCTTGAACTCCAGAGATTCTCAGATCACAATTTGAAGCATGATTTTAAACCATACATATGGGCTCTTGATGACGAAATGGTCTTTAAGTTGTCACTTCTATTTTTTTTCTTTCCCTTGTCTTAAAAAAAGTTTGATAATTTTATTTGTAAATAGGAAATTTTATTTAAAATAGGAAAATATTTTTGTTATATATTCATTTTCTGTCTGATAACACGGTGCACTTGGGATCTACTGTGGTTCTAGACTTACTCTATTTTTACATGGGAAGAATTAGGTCCCTTAAGCCTACCATTTTGAACTCTCGACCTCAGGTGATCCGCCCGCCTTGGCCTCCAAAGTGCTTGGATTACAGGTGTGAGCCACCATGCCCGGCCTAAGCCTACCATTTTAATATAAATTTACGATATTTGTCCCAGGCCTATTAAAAAGTGAATTCTGAAGATATAGGTGCATGGAGGAAAGACTATCACATTGTAATTAGTTTCTTATTTAAAGTGTATTCATTAGAAGTTTTTGTAAAACCCATATCTTTAGAACACATATAACACAATACTCTCATATATATTTAAATTTAAAATGGCTATATGTAAATTTGTTAATAAAAATTCATATAAAGAATCAATTATTAAGAATTTTTAAAACCTGATTTGAAGAATTTTAAGTATTAATAAACCAAGTTCTCACAGAAGGCAAAATATGTAATGGAGATTGCTGAGTGAATCAAGGTAAGTAATAGTAAAAATACAAATGTAGAGAAAAGTGAGAGATTATAGCTATTGAGACTTACCTAAATGACTTGTAAGCATAGGATGTGTAAAGTATAATAAGCCCTGACTGAATAGTGTGTTTTTCAGAAAGAAGAAGACATGCTTCTGTGAAGAAGGAATATATACAAGTTAGTCAAACTTGTGGTATTTACATCCTAATAAATGAAAACTTTATCTTCATATTTTTCAGACTGGCATTCTACTAGTTTGAACTTCAAAGAAAAGACTTGTCAAAGATCTGAACATTTGAAAGGTGATGATAAATGTCCATCTGAATCACCGTCAATGACCGAAAAGAAGTTGGCATCCACAGAACTGAGACAGACAAACTTAATAGATGAAGAAAAGTTGAATACTGGAGTTGTAGTTATATTTGAGAATGACACGGTCCACAACCTGTGTGAATCAAAGTTATCAGAAGGCAAAGGGATCAAAGAAGGTAATAAACACAGAGAATTCAATCCTAGAGTACCTGTGCTTGGCTTCATAATACCTGAGTTGTAACTTAAAAAAATGATTTTGGGTACTTTGTGTTTACTCCCCTTCTGCAACCTAGAACCAAACAGAACACCTTCTAGAAGGCCATTTGTATTCTTTCTTTAACCAAAGCAACAAATAAACAACAAAGAGAATTGGGAGAAAGAGTGATTTTGTTTTAGGGTAGTATTTAACATAAACTTGAGAGTGAGTACCAGGAATATATTTAGAATTTAGGGACTGGATGGAAAACTAGGTTGAGATCTTGCTTTGTTGTTGTTGTTTTTTCTTCTGGTATATAATTTATTTAATAAACATTTATTACCACTGTATACTTCCCAAATGAGGTGGACAGTAAATCAACATAAAGTACCTACCATGTGCTAGGCTTTGGCTACATATACAAAAACAAAAACAGACATGGTCCCTGCCCTCATGGAATTCACAGTCTAGCTGAAGCAGACAAACAGTCACAAATACAATGGCAAAGCACCAGGGAAGCATTATGGAAGAAGGGATTGGTTCTGCCTGGAGTATGCAGGGCAGGCTTCCCAGAGGTGGAGACAATGGAGCTGGGTCTTGGATGAGTAGGAGTTAGCCAGTTGGAGGGGAAGCGGGTAAGCACATTCCAAGCAGTGCAAACAGCATATGAGCAAGCAGAGTCTTGAAAGCGCATGCCATGGTGCAGAACGATGAATGGTCCAGCGCAGCTAGAGCAGAAAAGTGCACACAAACTTATTTTGATTGAGAGGATCGTTTCGCTGTCTCTGTTTGTTCTTCTGTAATTTACTAGGCCTCATCTTTCCAGTTCTGAAGTCAAAACTAATGACATCAACAGTATTTCCCAGGTACCTTGCCAACTGAGGCTTGCTTCTGAACTTCTTACCACTTGGACTGAATTAGTAGACATCGCTCTTGCCAGTACTGAGCCCAGATTTTCGGATCACTTCCTCCTTCTTCCATCCGGCGAGAGGGCCGTGCAGTCCATCCTCTTACCGCTCTCAGTGGCCCGGGGTCCCCTGGGCCCCGCCCCCATGCTCCCCGACGGGAAAGGGACCGGCTCTCGCCGGGGGGCGCCGCCGCAGCCACTGCAGCCGCAGCAGCAGCCGCCAAGGCCGCTGCCGCCACTCGGGGGACGGCCGCGTCCCCGTCCCGGGCCACGGCCCCGGCCCCGGCCACGGCCACAGACACCGCCGCCCCAGCCTGCCTGCTTCCACCGCCCCTGGCCACGGCCGCCGCGCCGAGCGCCTTCCCTGCGCAAGCTGCTCACCGGGGACTGGGCAAGCGCGCTGCCCTGGCCCCCCTGCTTCATGGCAGAGTCGCTGCTGCCTGCCGCGCTCTCCCCCTCCTCCTGCTCCGGGCAGCAGCAGCCTCCCCCCGGGTGTGCGCGCATCCAGCCGATCTTGCTTTGTTTTTATAGCTATCAATTCACAAGTAATAGTTATAATGATATGTACTATAACTTTAAAAAGCATCTTTCAAAACCAAATATTTAGTGATTTCTTATAATTCATATGACTTTATATATTATAGAATTGGCTTTCTAAGTATTAATGAGAATCATTGAGAATTTGCTACATAGTATCTCCTCCACGGTGTCCACATGAGCCATCACTTTGTGTTAATGTATTCACTAGGAATATTAATTTTAGCATTTAGAGTGATCTAAAGTTCAAATGGAACCAGAGACCACTCTTAAGAACATTAATATCCAAGCATCTTAAAATGCCACATGAAGTTTTTATAATCTGACTTCTTCCCAACTCTCCATCTTCAGCCCTTTTCCCTGGATGCCCTTTCTCTGGCATTACCAAACTGTGAGTCATGCCCTGCTGGTCCATTACTTTACTGTAGGCAAATACATATACTAATTCAGGCTTCTCTCCCTCTCTTGCTGCTGCTTGGCATGCTCTCACTCTTTTTTGTCTTCTACCCCTTTTAATCTGGCTAGCTTCACTCTTGGCCAACTCAGGCATGATCTCTAGAAAAGCCATTTCTATATACTTCATTTTTATTCTTTAAGCCCTAGTGCCTGACACTTAGCAGAACTCAATAAATAATTGCTGAGTAAAATACGTAAAGGCTGTTTATACAAAGATGATTTGCAAGTTGTCCCTTACTGTGTAGCAGTAAAGGGAACAGTCATGTAAAGCAATAATGTAAAGTTCAGGTAGTAAAGATGCAGTAGAAAAATCAATAAAATACTAAGGCAGCCCCAAGGTATTAATTTAAAAAAATCACCAGAATCAAGGAAGACTTCACATAGCCACCTGTTTTAAAAGAAAAAAAAATAAATTTGTAAAGAAAAACATTTCAGATATTAGTAACAGGGTACATACATATCGATAGTTTAAACAGTCATTTTGGAAATCATCAATAAGGTACTAATATGAAGCAGAGACTAGTATACCACATTACTATGTAGGGATGTTTCTACTAATTTTTAAGTATATTTTTAATTTTTGGGTACAGAGTAGGTATATAAAAAAGTGAGAGATGATAGCTGTGAGATACATATTGAGATGATAGCTATTGAGTACATGAGATATTTTGATACAGGTATATTATGTATCATAATTACTTCAGGGTAAATAGGATATTCATCACTTCAAGGATTTATCCTCTGTGTTAAAAACAATCTAATTACACTGTTTTAGTTATTTTTAAATATAGAATTAAATTATTATTGACTATAGCCACACTGTTGAGCTGTCAAATGCTAGATATTATTTATTCTCTCTCTTTTTTGGCACCATCTTCACATTCTCCCCTAACACGCCCCACCACCCTTCCCAGCCTCTGGTAATCATTATTATACTCTATCTCCATTAGTTCAGTTGTTTTAATTTTTAGTTCTCAAAAATAAATGAGACAATGCAAAGTTGATTCTTCTGTTCCTTGCTTATTTCAGCCAGCATAATGACCACCAGTTCCATCCATGCTGTTGCAAATGACAGGATGTGATTTTTTTTTTAATGGCCAATTAGTACTCTATTTTGTAAATACACCACAACTTCTTTATCTGTTTGTCTGTTGTGAAAGACTTAGGTTGCTTCCAAATCTTGGCTGTTCTGAATGGTGCTGCCATAAACATGGGTGTGCAGATATCTCTTTGATATGCTGATTTCCTTTCTTTTGAGTATATACCCAGCAGTAAGATGGCTGGATCATATGGTTTCCGGAGAACCTTCAAACTATTGCTCATAATGGTTGTACTAATTTTACATTCCCACCAACAGCATACAAGGTTTCCCCTTTTCTCCACATCGTCATCAGCATTTGTTATTGCCTGTCCTTTGGATGTAAGCCATGTTAACTGGGTTGAAATGATATCTCATTGTACTTTGAATTTGCATTTTTCTGATGATCAGTGATGTTCAGTACCTTTTCATATGCATGTTTGCCATTTGTATGTCTTCTTTTGAGAAATGTCTATTCAAATCTTTTGCCCATTTTAAAATTGATTGATTTTTTCCCTCATAGAGTTGTTTGAGCTCTTTGTGTATTCTGGTTATTAATCCCTTGTCAGATTGGTAGTTTGCAAATATTTTCTCCCATTCTGTGGGTGTTCTGTTCCCTTTGTTGATTGTATCCTTTGCTGTACAGAAACTTTTTAACTTGATGTAATCCCGTTTGTCTATTTTTGCTTTTGTTGCCTGTGGTTGTAGGGTATTACTCAAAAAATGATTGCCCACAGTGATGCCCTGGAGAGTCTCTCCAATGTTTTCTTCTAGGAGTTTCATAGTTTGAAGACTTAGATTTAAGTCTTTAATCCATTTTGATCTGCTTTTTGTATATGGTGAGAGATAGGGGTGTAATTTCATTCTTCTGCATGTGGATATCCAGTTTTCCCAGCACCATTTATTGAAGAGACTGTCTTTTTCCCCAGTGTATGTTCTTCCCCAGTGTATGAAATCAAGCATGAGTTCACTGTAGGCATGTGGAATTATTTCTGGCTTCTCTATCCTGTTGTGTTGGTCTATATGTCTGTTTTTATGGCAGTACCATGCTGTTTTGGTTATTATAGCTGTAGTATAATTTGAAGTCAGGTAATGAGTGTGATTTTTCCAGTTTCTTTCTTTTTGTTCAAGATAGCTTTGGCAATCCCGGGTCATTTGTGGTTCCATATAAACTTAGGATAGTTCTTTTTCTATTTCTATGAGGAATGTCATTGGTATTTTGATAGGGATTGCATTGAATCTGTAGATTTCTTTGGGTAGTATGAACATTTATAAAATACTGATTCTTCCAGTTTATGAAAATAAAATATCTTCCCATTATTTGGTGTCCTGTTCACTTTCTTTCACCAAAGACTTACAGTTTTCAGTGTAGAGATCTTGTACATTCTTGATTAATTCTTAGGTATTTAATTTTATTTGTAGTTCTTGCAAATGAGATAGATTACTTTCTTGATTTTATTTTCAGCTTGTTAACTTTTGGCATCTAAAAATGCTACTGATTTTTGTATGTTGATTTTGTATCCTGCAACTTTATTGAATTTATCAGTTCTAATAGTTTTTTAATGACATCTTTGGGTTTTCCAAATATGAGATTATATCATTATATCATTTGACTTCTTCCTTTCTTATTTGGATGCTCTTCGTTTCTATCTCTTGTTTAAAGTGGCTCTAGCTAGAACTTCCAGTACTATGTTGAATAACATTGGTGACAGTGGCCATTCTTGTTGTGTCCAGATCTTGGGGGAAAGGTTTTCAGGTTTTCCCCATTATGATACTAGCTATGGGTCTGTTGCACATGACTTTTATTGTGTTGAGGTATGTTCTTTTTATACCCTGTTCTTTGAGGGTTTTTATTATGAGGGGATGATGAATTTTTACCAAATGCTTTTTTCTGCATTAGTTGAAGTGATCATATGATTGTTATTCTTCATTCTATTGATATGCTATATCACATTGATTGATTTGCATATATTGAATCATCTTTTCATTTCTGAGATACATT